TTTTTTTTTTTGTAGTGGTGACTTTTTAAAAAAGTATCGAAAATTTTATTTCAGCTAGTTTATTAGCTAATTTACCAAGCACACTTTTATTATATAAGTTAGTTTTTCACTCATTAGTCATAAGTTATGAACTATAAACTCTAAATTTACTTAAAACCTATAAATGAACTTATCAACTATAAATTAATTTATCAACTAGGTTTATCAAACTTAAGCTATCAAATGGACCCGTTATAATTTCTAGCAAAATATATATTTATCCTACAAAATAATTATATACTAAAAGATAATATATTAAATAAGAAAGTAGCATGATATATGTAGTATTTTATATCCTTTGACCGTTACCCCAACTCACATGTGAATTGAAAAAATGACTTTTTGTGTTAAAACTCTTGAGGGAGAGCTTTGCCGCCCTTGTGGTCCTACCCGGCTCGATTCCGGATTAGTCAGTTCCCCTGTGGATTCGGAAACTGGAAGGTCCCTGTACCAAAAAAAATAAAAATGACTTTGTGGGGATATTTTGGAATGAAGCAAATGAAGAAAGTAAGCTGGCACTCAATAATAGCATATGGACCACCTCTATTAAATAGAGTAAATTTTTAATTATGTTGACAAAATGGAAAAGGACCTACATTTGGCCAAATCCTAATAATAAATAATTTATTTTTCAAATGTGAGGGCTTTAATATCATTTCTCTAAACCTTGGGATAGGAAAACAATGGGGCCGAGGAAAGGTTGCTTGGCTACTAATTCTGCATTATCTTAGATAGATTCAATATATTGGACCTGTGATTAAATAAATAATCTGTGGTCCTGTGCCTGTGGAGTAGATGTAATCCGACTCCGACAGCTCAAAATACATTAGACTCCGTACATACAATCCGATTATTTTTACTTATTACATCGACTTTAATTCAATATTCATCAACTCACATAATTTTAACTAATAACCGTTTCACATCATCTCTTTCATAATCAAATATATCAAATAATATTTAAATACAGATTTAAAACTTCACTAACTCAGCATACCACTAATTTCAAAATTAACCATT